GATGGGAGAAAGGATAGCTGCCAGAACACTGACAGGTATAAATGGAGAGAAATTAAGGAGACTAACTAGACAGGAATGTGCAGCTGACTAGAGTGAGACAACAAAAGTAAACAAAGCTCTGTGCTCCTAAGGATTCTAAAGATATCACTGCAATGGCCCTTGTCATTAGGAGTTAAAATCAGATTACTACTTATAGTGTTTAATAAGGCAGAAGGATTTCCATGAAAAAAGTTAAAAACGTTAGCATTCAGAAGATGTAAGCTTGTTAGTCCTCCGGAAAACTCACTTAAGTACAACACCTCAAGGTAATTTTTTATATATAAAAGGAAAATATTAAGTCAGATGTAAACTGATAGGTTTTAACAAGTTGTTTGGTATGTTTACATGTTAGTATGGAATATATTTAGAAAATATGAAACAGGATGTTTACAGTCATTCTAGAAATAATACTATTTTAAATTTTCAGGTGAAAATAAAAGCAAAGGTATAAACCCACATGGATCTCAGCAGCTAAATACGTATGAAAACAATTTAAATAGGCAAGAATTTTAGGCACACCTACAATATATACCACTCGATGCACAAGTTGCCAGTCCACTATTTGGAAGATTGTTCTGTTGAGGTTAAAGACATGGATATTTATCTTTAGAAAAAAAGTTCACATCAATAGGTAGAGGTCACCTCATTTTTTTAATACATTTTACTAATAAATATTATTACCGGAGTTGCCATTGCTCCATATTGTTAACGTTGACACTTGGTCATAAAACCGATCTCCCAAAAGTAACACTTTCCTACCTTAAAAGTGTACTATAAGCTTCTTTCATATTTCAAATAAAAATCCAGCTAGAGCTGTGGACTCCTGAATTCTGGATAAGTAATTAGTTCCCAACTTAGAACTCCTGGAGATTTTGGTTTAGTGTGTGTTGTAGAGTGGATTCAGGCACCTGTATTTTTAGAGAAGATCATCAAGCACAGCCAGGTTGTCGTGGTTTTAGAGAATAATACCAGCAAACGGCTGAAGACAGTAATACATAAAATCCAATTTGATTCCACTTGGGGTAGAAAAATCAGCTACTTCCAGCAAATTATCACTTTAAAAATGTATGACCAACGAAATATGAAGAAGTTAATCAATCACTGGGAAGAATCATAGAACTCTTAGGCTATGCCTAAGTAAAAAGAAATGGCCCATGAAAACGGAATAACTACTTCTTTGGATCTAAAATAAATTTATTTTTCTCCCGGTCTGAGCATAGGCAATAGAGGAGAAAAGGAATCAGAAAGCTACCGCGGGAGAAAGGACTGGTTGTCTGAAGGGAAATTTGTGTTTGACAATCTTATCAGCTAGCTACCTGTCTCTTCTGAATATGGAGAAATTAAATTGCCTTAATGAATCTCCGTATCAGTTGCTATTTGAATGAGGTAGAATACCTCAATACCTTGGCATTCTGGCCAAAGTCACTGCTTTCTAGTATAGGACAGTCACAGGTAGATCAACTCAGAGGGGTAGAGACCGGCACATATATCCTATTAGAGGCCACTCTTATCGTCAGCCTAAAATTCACATGTGAAAGACTACATGGCTCTTTTAAGAATAATCTTAAAACTATTTTCCTTTTGGCTGTAGTAAAATGTATTTCCAAAATTAAAATATTCACTAGCTTGGCAATTTCACAAAAATTAGCAATGTGATGGCCAGCAGAGGGCATTAAAGTATCTATTGATAGTATCTCAGAAGGCATGCCAAGCATTTTGTTTTCTCCAATTCATTTATTTCTTTTAACAGACTGAAGAATAGTCTAGTTTTCTTTAAAATGGAATATTTAAACACTTCTGTATATTTTGTATACAATTTGGATAAACTTAGCAGTAAAATTATTATATACTCTAATGTACTTTAGTCATATGAAACAGTGTTAAGAACTTTTAAAAAATTATAAGTATGTAAAAAAAGCTAAGACGTAGGTAAGCTGATAAATTTAAACACAGGCAACTTGTTAATTAAAAAGGTGTCATTTTTCTAATTCTTACTGTTTATACTTTAATAAACTTTTAAAAAGCTGTGACAAAATAAAGCTTATGTCTGGTCTTTGCCCCTAGTTCCTAACACAGAGTTTCAAAAACCTTTGGAATTTCCAGTGGTAGAAGTGTTTTGGGTTTTTTTGTTGTTTTTGTTTTAAATTCTAATGAGGTGATCCAGGGTGGGTTTCTAGGTAGCTTCAGGATGGTCACCAGAAAAACCACCCTTGTGATGAGAGTTGGAATTTTGGCCCAGCCTGACCTCCAGGAGGTAGGTCATGCCATAAACCAATCATGTGGATGAAAACTCTGACTCAGGTGAGCTTCCTGGATGAACACATTGATACGTTGGGAGGGTGACACATCCTGCTTCCTGGACGGGCTCAGTCTTGCCCTACATGCCTCTTGATTTGGCTGTTCCTGAGTTCTTTTACGATAAAACTGTAATCCTAAGTATAGCACTTTCCTAAGTTCAAGAGTCGTTCTAGCAAATTTGTCGAACCTGAGGAGGTCATGGCACCCTCTGAATTTATAGCCAGGCAGCCAGAAGTGTGGCCGGCATGTGAAGTAAAGGCAGTCTTGTGGAAGATTTGAGTCCTTAAAACTGCAGAGTCTGATGCTAATTCTGGGCAGTTAGTGTCAGAATTGAATTGCCGTACACACAGTTGGGGTGGACATAACAGAAACTAAATGCTCCTCTTTCCTTAAAAGATACTAAATTTAGGGATTCCTCCCTCCCCCCTCCACATTGACATTTTACTGTCTAGAACTAATTACTCAAAATTTCTCCATAATACCTAATCTTTGTAAATGTTATGTCCTGGAACAGAACATGTGCCTCAGCCTAGGAACTGACAGTTTTAGTCACTTAAGTAAAATGTTCACTGAAGTATAAATTCATGTTTTGCTGAAATGAGATTTGAGCTCAAAGTTTACCGTGGACTTGGGATCTCCAAAAGTAACCACTGGGGCAAGGGTAAGGGAAGGGTTTGGGCATGGAAGGAGGTTGTAGGTATAGTTATAAAGGGCAACCTTTTGATGAAACTGTTGAGTATCTTGACCTTGATAGTAAAGACACAAACCTACAAAGGTGATAAAATTATTATAGAAGTTAATACACACTGCAAGTGCACATGCACACATTTACAAATGAGTACAAATAAGATCTGGGAAATCAGAACATAGTGGCAGATTGTACCAGTCAGTATCCTTGAAGTAACAGAATATTACGGTTTATAAAATCTCCACGTACCCATTGCTGCATATGCTTACTGCCCTCTTAACTACATTTTTGCCTCGCAGATCTACTAATACAAACCTTTGTCTAATTTTACAATAATCATTGCAAGCAACTAGACACCTAATCATAGTAATATAGATTTTCTTTTTAAATGTCCCAGTGTATAGGAAAGTACAGCTGGGATAAAAGAAGACTGTCACAGCATTGCTGTACTTCAACATAGCAATCCAACATACCCATATGAGGAGCTGTCCCCAAATTACAAACATCTGACTTGTAAACATCCTAAACACATACTGGTCCACTAGAATAAATCCCTGTTATATTTACCGGGCTAAGCATTTTAAGTTCCTTAAAATATTTATCACTTATCTGCTGTTAACATCTGAATGTGAAAACTGCTAAAACCACTTAAAATCTTAAGAGTCTTTCATTCCTTTATATGTATTGCAATAAGGATCATTCTCAGTTAAAAGGAGGATCAAATGAAAAAAGAGATGTAAGAGCACTCCGGCAGGCATTAAAATGTAACAATGAAAGACATTACCAAATTGGATCACAAAGCACTTTCATACTCCCAAACAGAGCATACTGCCTCGAGACTTTTAAGGCAGAATACTTCCAACATTTTGGTGTTGGTGGTGAATCCTATAAGGGCATCTCAAAGTTTGGTTACAGACGGCAAATGTTCCTGGCTTTGAGGTTACAGTTTTGATGCTGGGATCCAGTCTTACTACTTTTTCAGCACAATCTTCAATTGCAAAAGTAGATTGGGGTTCTGTGAACAACAAATTTAAGTTGCTACTGTTTGTTTTCTGACAGAGGAAGACACTGTAAGTACTGCCTCAGAAGAGGTGGGTGGCCCCACAGCACTGCACAGAATCACTGGGTCAGGTACAGCATATACATTGTTGAATTTTAAATGTTCTTTTGATACTGAAAATCTAATATATACCAGTTTAAATAGTTACAGGGAAGATCTCTATTATGTATTATCCCAGATGCCTCATTATACCTGAGTTGGTAGAGAATATGGTAGGGAGTAAAGAAAATGTCTATTCGCACTTCTTTTTTTAAGTTAATTAATTAAATTTTTGGCTGCGTTGGGTCTTCGTTGCTGCGCACGGGCTTTCTCTAGTTGCGGCGAGCCGGGGCTACTCTCCGTTGTGCTGCGCAGGCTTCTCATCGCGGTGGCTTCTCTTGTTGCGGAGCACGGGCTCTAGGTGCGCGGCCTTCAGTAGTTGTGGCTCGCGGGCTCTAGAACACAGGCTCAGTAGTTGTGGTGCACGGGCTTAGTTGCTCCGCGGCACGTTGGATCTTCCCAGACCAGGGCTTGAACCCGTGTACCCTGCAGGCGGATTTTTAACCACTGCCCCACCAGGGAAGTCCCTATTCCCACTTCTTACTAAAAAAATCTGTAAATACAAAGACTCTCCATATTCATAAATATCCAATGAAGAATACCTATTGATGAAAAGCAGCTAATATTCTCACTAATATTGGGGATTAGTCTGCCTTATAATTTAAAAAATATTTTGTTTGCATATGTATATATGAAAAAAGATGATCCTTATACTGAAATTCTCAGTGCTTTACATCAATCCAGGTTGTTTTAAATGAATGATATTCAAATACAGGATGTATCTAAAAGTTTGAATAATTGTAACTCATGTCGATTCATAGGTAATCATATTCCTTTAGAAGATGCTAAAAGTCATTTACAGATTATAACAGTGAGCAACACAGAAACTGGAAAACACTGGTGTGACAATGAGGTCAGAGCACTTATAAACATATGGTCTGACGAAAAAATTAAGCAAATGCTTGAAGGGGCCACAAGAAACAAAGAAATATTTGAGGAAATTGCCAGAAGACTAATGCAGTTTGGAATAGACAGAGACTGGAAACAATGTCGTACCAAATACAAAAATTTAAAATATGAATACAGAGTTTTACAAAAGAAAACTGGCAACCCTCAAGGAAAAATGAGATTTTATGAAGAAGTTGATGGCCTCCTAAGACAACCATCTCTCAGAACTGCCAAATGGAAACATGGTAACCTTGGAAGTGACCCTTTCAAAATGAAAATACTATAAACTTTCCTCTTTGCATTTAACTTAGCAAGATATTCTTCAATAGTAAATTCCTAACACTATTTTATGTTCAAATGACCCCCTAAATTATTATAAATCACATACCTAATATAAGTCAAGAATTTCAATGTCTTTTCAAATCTTGTACCAAAATATTCCTAATTCTTAAACTCATTCTTCATCTGTCCAACTGCTTAAATGTTCTAACTTTAGTGTATTTGAATGCTTGAAGACTAATGTATTTTAGACGATGTCATATAATGATTCTTCTCCTATGTTCTCATTTAAGAATTATTTGAAAGTCATACCCAACACCCAAGAACTTTGAGAATCAAGAGAAAAGCACATGAAGATGGTAAGAGTCTGAGAAATGCCAACTTTTTCCACACTGAGAAAAACTTTTGTAGCTTTTTCCTGATCAGAGATGTTTATTCCTATCCTTGACAAATTAGACTATATTGTTTATGAGCTGTGTGAGAGCAAAAAATGCGTGAAAAATGATTTCTTCCATAGCTTATTAAGAGTGAAAGTAAGATAGTAAACAGAAACTTTCCCAGATCAGAAATTTCTGCACAGCTATGCATTTATCATGAGCCTTTAAATTACACTTTTCAGTGATTGCTATTAGAAGACTAGGATGTAAAAGGAAAACCCCCCACAAACTAGTAAGTTCTGAATTTTGGTTTTCTCCAAAGGTAGCCAGCAATGGTTGTGACATTTTAGTATTGATAATTCTACAAATAAGCCAAACGCAGAAGCCAGCTAATTATGGAGCTGTAATTCCAAACTGACCCATTATAAGTATCAGAAAAGGTAACATAATATAGTATAGCACAGAGAAGAAAAACAGAGAATGTAAGAAAAAGCACTGGTCTGAGACTCAGAAAACCTGAGTTCTAGTCTCCCTTTACCTGAAAAATTCAACACAGAGCAAATGACTGCATCTCTCTGGATCTCTGAGATGATCCAACTTTAGCATATAGATTTATAATTTATCGAACTGTTTTGAGTTCACATAAATAGTTAAAGAGCTCAGTTTTTACAAAGTGAAGACATCTATGGAACTACTACTCAAGTCAAGATATAAAACATTACCAGCACCCTAGAGGCCCCCCTTCATCATTAATTATCCTCTTAGCCCCCATAACGGTTATCAATATTCTGACTTCCATCACCACAGATTAGTTTTAGAATCATACAGTATGTTTTTTCTTTAGTATGTATTTTTTAATGTCAAGCTTCTTTTACACAACATTGTTTGTGACATTTATCCATGATTTTACTTGTAGCAGGAGTTTGTTCTTTTTTATTGCCGTAGAATTTTCCATTATAGGGACATACATCCCACTACCTTCTTTATCCAATGTTTCCAAATTGGGGCTACCATGAATAATGCTGCTATAAAAATTCTTGTGCATGTCTCCCAATAAACATATGTATGCATCTCTGTGGAGTATACACCCGAGAGTGGGATGCAGGGTCACTGGGTATGCATATATCCAGGCACTGTTCTAAGCACTTTATATATTAACGCATTTAATCCCTACTACAACCCTATGAGGTATAGGTGTTATCATCATCCCCAATTTACAGAGGAGGAAATGGAGGCATAAAGAAGTCTGTGCTGTTGCTCCATTGCTTCTCTGTGAGGGACAGGGACCACATCAGCCCTGTGTAGTACAGTATTCCTAGTGCCTTGCATACACACAGGAAGAGCTCAGGAAATATTTTTTGAATAAAGTATTAGAGAATAGCAGGAATCCACTGCCCCCCAGCCCTGCCAACAATGCTTATACCTCAAGTGAGCTGATGATTTTATTCTCCATTTTTTGACATAAATTACAAATCAGACGAGTTGCCCCATGTTTGCCTTCTCTTAATGCCCTTTAAAGGATATGCTATTGAAAAGGGAAACTGCTAAGGATTAACCACACAAAAGTATCATTCCCAATACACTGAATTTGTGCACTGGACCTTTAAAATACATAAGTCTAGCCCAACAGGTAAGAAACCAGACTCAGAAATTAAGGAGACTTGACCAAGATCAAACTGTTACTAGCAAACTTGGGACTAGATTTCAAGTCTTATGTTAAAGAGGCTGTTCCTAATACTCACCAGAATGACAAAGCAGTAGTACTTTAAGACCCTTTTGGGGATAAGTCACTTTTCCAACTAAGGGAGTGTAAAACACTATAGGAATGTAACATGTTTGGTCATTATTTCTAAGAGATAAAAATCAAAAAAGTTAACTCCAGCCTTAATATGCAACTCAAAGCAAGTTCTCTGATAATCTACTCCTGTGTTCTCCAACAAACTAAATGAAGATAACTGGAAACTAATTCCCCAGGTTGGTTTGAGTTCATCTCTCTATCTCGCAAGTGCCTTTCTACTGATACGTTATATACTCTGTTTGCAGAACCAGCGGCAGTATCTCTTAAGAAAACTGCTCCTGAGATCACTGCAAATCAGTTTCCTCAAAGAAGAACAGAACCAAAAGATTGTACAGAATGTTTTTGCAGTCAGGAGACCCCCTACGTGACCCAACTTCATCAGGTAAATGTCATAAATTTTTAGAAAAAGTATGAAAATGTTTATCAGTTGTAGGGTTCAATTCCTAACCCAGGGAAATGATAATTCACTGAAAGGCATTTTCATCTCCTAACTAACCAAGGAAAGGCTAACCAGTTGATTCATGGGATAAATCTGTGAAATTTTAGTAATTCCTTTTATGGAACCTTCAAATATGTCCATGTCATTCTAGTCTCCATAAAATGTGACTGTGGTTTAAAGATTTCTGATCTGTGGGGGGGGGGGTGTGATTTGTCCAGAACTGTGCAAACCACTGAACTAATATTTTTAGGGCTGAAAAAGTACTTGGTGATTATATGAATCTGGCATGAACAAGCATGCACACACAGTTTTACAGCTGAAGAGGACAACTAGTTAGTTTAACATTGAAAAGTCCCCCTGACAGAAAGTAGAGCTATGGTATAAATCTGCAAATAGACTACTAAAAAGAAGTACTTCTGGACGAACCCATCTGAATTAAGCATCCAGTACATGACTGTCTAGTAATTGATACTCCATTTGTTTTTATATATAAAATACATAACATTACAACTTTCAGGTGTTCTGTTATCCCTGACACTAAATGTCTATGCCTAAGACAAAAACAGAACCAAATACAATGCAAAAGTGATAGAAATTTCACCTTCTAGATTCCATGTCTTAGGAAGAAAACGTGTAAGGGATAAATCCCGTCATCAAAAATGGGGGGAAAAAATCAATTGAATCTTGTTGCTGTTGTTTTAAAACTAGCCATTGAGTGGAGGAGGGTGAGGAGGTAGATAGAGCCTTCTGCAACAAGCCACCACTTGCCAGTCAGTGTACACTGTATATAACTAACTCTATATTAAACTATAACAACCTATCTAGGCTTCTAATTTTGACATTCCTTGATTCAATGCCATATAAAAACATTTTTTGTTAGTTTATTTTATTGAAGTATAGTTGATTTACAATGTTGGGTTAACTTCTGCTGTACAGCAAAGTGATTCAGTTATACATATACATACATTCTTTTTCATATTCTTTTCCATTATTGGTACCATAGGATATGGAATATAGTTCCCTGTGCTATACAGTAAGACCTTGTTGTTTAACCATTCCATTAAAAACATTATTTCTTAACCTTCGACCCCTACTTACGAGCTTAGAGAAGCAGAAGATTTTATCTTCTAGGCATAAAGAAGTTTCATATTCTTAGAATCAGAATCAGTTTCCCTAAAGGGTGAGGACTTTTGCTAATTTAAAATTTTGAATTGGATAGGATTATGGGCAAGAATCAGCCCTCTCAATGAACCTTAATGATTCTATGCCTACTCAAGGAAAATTTAAATAGTTTTCCATTAACATCTTTCTCCCCCAGAAGCTACTGTTTTTTTTGCCACTGTTATTGAAAATATCACAAGGTCAATTTTCAATACTACAGTTTAACAAATACTTGCTCCATCAAATAAGCAGCCCGATAGAATCCATTTAATTTTCTCTACCATCATGTAGTAATCACATTTTTATTGCCCTTACCTTGTATTATCTAATCTCATAATTTTTTCACTTAAAAGTCACTGCAGAAAAGTGCATGTAGTTAGGAATGTAGTTATTCATTAAAAAAAACATCACCCCCCTCTTCTTTACACACACATTTAAAGAGGAGATCTTGGGATGAACTTTCTGAGTTATTTTAGCTAAAAAATAAATAGTTAAAAAAAAATTCAAGGTCAGTTCATTTCTTTCTCACAGACCACCAGGCAATTCTAAAGATCCCTTGTTTTTTATACCTCTTCCCATGACAGATTATCCACAATAACTTCTCCGAAGAATGTTATAAACTAATGTTGCTCTGGACTACCATAAGAATAGCTTTTAGTTTTTCCTTGGATTATACATAATCCTCTCAATAATGTAAATGTATTTTAAAATAAGATTTCTATTATGGTTAACCCACAATTATCCAAGATTAGAGTAAGTCAAACTAGAAATATTCTTTTTGATTCATCCCAGATTCTAAGTTACTCTCAGCTCTTAGTAAACAGGGAGTACACAAGATGTGAAACTCAAACTCAAGTATTCAGGACCCTGAAAAAAGCTGAGACTACTTCTAATTTAAGTTTGGTGAGGGAAAGCTAATCATTTGTAATGCATTTATACATACTGCTCCCATCCTGCCCATAAGCATTATTGCCAAGTTCCTTAACTGTTCTAGAAGTTGTTGCTGAGGTATTGCCTTATGGAAACTTTGTAATACTTTCAGTGATAATGCCAAACTTAGGTTTATATTTCTTAAGGAAATTGTTTATATCAACTTCCAGTTAGTTCAGTTAGTAGGAAGTGGAAAGATCACAGAAGCAGTTATTTTTTAACTCAAAGGATCTATCAGTTTTTCAAAGTCAATGTGTATCTTGTCAGACAGGAACTACTTTCCCTCTTTTAAAGAGGGGAGTTATTTTGGCATTTCCTTACTACCAACCTTTTCATTCGTTATCTAAAACGTTTACCAATGAATTTTTTACAGATGCACTCTTCCCTGCGATTGGGTTATTTTCTGTTAATTCAGATGAGATCTAGAACCGGTAGTTCCTTTCGAACACCAAGCTAATTCAGCTTCCCCGGGTTTGAATCCCTAAATTCCCACAGCTATGCCCTACGTTCAAATACACAAACTGCCCAGTAGCTCTGCCCTTGCAAACAAAAGCTTGTGGTGGCTGCAGGCTCCGCGCGAAACCTCAAGGTGTATTGTAGGTCCTGGACCAGCAGTCACCCCACACAAGCCTATCACAAGAACAGCTCCAGGCTCTGGGAGATTAAAACTCGCAAGCAGTCAAGAAAGAACCCCGACTGGGCTAGTCCAAGCGAATCGGAGCCTTATAAACTGGCCAGACCAAGCAGGGGTGCACGACACCGGAAGAGAGGGGACAGCCCCTAAAGAGCATGAAGAGTTGCGGGGGACAGGCTGAAATCCAGGGAGGCAAGGTAGCCCCCGCGCACTCCTTGGCAATCGGTGGACGCCACAGGCAGGTACCCGTCCAGGTAAGAGAGAGATCCGGCCTCCGGTCCTCAAGCGCCCGCGAGATCGCCAACTCCGGCCGCGGGAAGCGGCTCGGGCAGATGGAGAAGCACACGCGCCGCCATCCCCACCCCTCACCCAGTCGCTCACCGGTGCTGCAGCCCCACGAGTCCCAGAGTGATCACATGAGGCACATCTAGCTGCGTGGGCCACTCTCCTGAGGCGATGCATCCGAACACGCCACATTCCTCTCGGATCCCCAACTCCTCCAGCTCCATGTCGCCGCCGAAAGCACGTGGAGGGACCCGCCGCTGCGGCAGGGGTCTAAGCACCAACCAGTTGTTCGTTCGGCCTGTAAGCCTCAGAAGCTCGAGCCAGCGGCTCGACCCTCGCTACAGCGGCGGCGCGTGCTTTCCCTAAATGAGAGTGATTAGCTCGCGCACCGCCACCCTGCCCCGCCCCTACAGGCCCACCAATGACCGAGGACGGAGGGAGAGGCTCCACGGCTGAGGGGCGGAGTCAAAGGCCCTGTGGGGGTGGAGCTAGCCCTCCACCGGAGCCCTGGGGGAAGATCATTTTTCTGCACGTGGAAATCTCCGTTATTTTCCAATACCCAAGAGTGAGATGATGAGACTAGCGGGGTTAACGTCATTTCTGTCTTAGAGGATGTAAATTTTGTATGTCCCTCCCCACATGCTTTCCCCCAGGCCGTCACTACTTGGTATGCTCCAACCTCTGAGCCACTCTCGCTGCCGAGGAGGGGGCCAAGTCAGCGAGCTGCTGTAGGGTGGGGAGGGGCCGCCAGTGCGCGCCACTTTTCCTCTTTCCTGTAACTGCGCCCGCGCAGGGCGGGGTACGGTCCGCGTCGCTGCGCCTGCGCGGCGGGAATCTTGCGGAAGGCACTAGCTCCCGGAGTCCAAGTTCCTCTCGATCCGCAGAGACCCCCGAGGTTCCGTCACCGCGGTGGTGCTCGAAGAGACCGCGAGGGGGCACTCTGGGTTACGCGGCCCCGGCGGGGGCGTGTCTGTGGGCCGTGCCTCCTTTCCCCGCCCCGTGAGCCTCTCTGATCACTCCTCTTTTCCAGAGTCCTGCCTCTCTTCCTAGAGCTGCCGCTGCTTCCAGACCACTCCGGATAATGGCGACAGCCGAGGGTGAGTAACAGGCGTCCCCAGGACTTGGGACTCCCTGCCATCCACGGTCTTCCTGCCCCTCTGCCTTGAGCTCGAGGGTTCACGCCGGCACGTGCGCGCTCCGCGGCCCCGACGGCAGCCTTCCCCGGGCAGAACTCGGTCTCCCTGCACCCGCCCCACTAGGCCACTGGGCTGGCGGGCACGTGACCCAGGCGCTGCCGAGCGGTGCGTCGGAAACAAAGCGCTCCCGGGCCTCCGAACTTTCTGAAACATCCAGAACTGCTTCTGGGATGGGGAAAAGGCGCAAAGAGTCATTAGGAAGAGAAATGGCCAGGGGTTGGAGACGTGCTTGGAAATCGCGTTTGCCATCAGTAGATATTGCAAAACAATCGCAGAAGCATCTAGTGTTGACTCTTAGGCTAATAATAACCTGCTATTCCAGAAAGTTAATAATTGAACCTTCTGAAAAATTTGCTATTTTCTGTGCAGATTTTGTGTGTGTTTTTAGCCTTTTTATGCCAGTGATGGCTTTGGAGAGTTACAAAACCACCAGGGAAAAGTTTCCTTCCTTCACTTTGCACTTATTATATTACATATTTATATAATCATTTTGGCCACTCGTGATTAGGATACTCAGGAAAGATCGTTTGTGCTATTTTTACTGTAAAACGTTTTCCCCCATCCCCCATACTTACGGTGAACCAAATTCCTTGTGTTGGCCAGTCACTACATTCTCTTCCACATAGAAAAATTAAATTTAGGTAAAAAACTATAGGCTGAACAAAATGGTCCTGATAACAAGTAACAACTCCATAAAATCAATGGATTAGACCAGAATTTTCCCTGCCATACCTCTAAACTGACAGATCTCTAAAATCTTTGCTCTTCCACTTCCTTCCATCTTGCATTTTTTGGGGGGCAGGTTAATTATTCCAAATTTTCACTTTTATGGTTTCTAAATGGCACTTCATTGCCCAAAAATGTTCTCTGGCAGTGCGAAAGCTATTGAAATCCATTCTGAAGAACTTTTCATTCACATCCTGCATACTGCTTCCTTCCTACCTCTTCAACCCTTACTTAGGCTTTTCTCTCTTATGAATCCTAAGCCTACATTCCAGGCAGGTTAATTCACCAAGTTTACTCTTCTCTATGTTTGTTTTTGCTGTTCCTTCTAGAACAGTGTTGTCTGATAGAAATATAATGTGACACTCTATGTAACTTTGTTTTCTAGTAGCCACATTTTAAAAAGTAAAAAGAAACAGGTGAACTGATTTTTAATATATATTATTTAACCCAATATATCCAAAGCAGTATCATTTCAACATGTAATCAATATAAAAAATTGTGATTTTTGCAAACCTTTTTTTCATATTGAAATTCACTGTGTATTTTACGCTTAACTTACATCATTTCAATTTGGAGTAGCCACATTTCAAGTATTTCATAGCCACATGTGGCTAGTGACTACCTTATGGGACAGCACAGTCCTAGATGTTCTTACCTCTTTGTGGAAGTTCTGTACTTTTCAATACTCTTAAATGTCAGGTCTATGAATTATTCTCAGTCCTCATCAATCTCTTCTGAATTCATCTATGAATTTGTAGCAGGCATTTTGGCACTTATAGCAAATGTCTCCTATGATGTTACGTTATTTCTATCCATTAGTTGAAATTCCTACCCTGTTTGAAAATTAAGTAATAAATACCAATTCAGGGAATTCCCTGGCGGGCCAGTGGTTAGGACTCCTTGCTTCCATTGCAGGGGGCACAGGTTCGATCCCTGGTTGGGGAACTAAGATCCCACAAGCCGCACGGCGAGGCCATATGTAAATAAATACATACATACATACATACCACTTCAAATAAATCGAGAGAGAGGAGCAGTAGGTACAAATTATCTAACCCAGGCAACATCTTAACTTTCCCTTCTTTTATCCCCCATATTGAGTCAATTGTTATAAAAACTTTTACCTTTTAAATATCTTGAGTCTTACCCAACTGCTTTTTCTTTAGACCAGGACATTTCTTGCCTGGATTGCTGCCACAGCATCGTAAGTGGTCTCTCAGTCTCTAGTTTTCTTCCACCCACCCCTTCCTCATTTCATTCTCCACACAGCAGCCATAATGGTCTTTCTAATATAGAAACTGTCATTTTACTGAAGTACTTAAAAGCTTTATAGTTGCTCCTAGGATAAAGTGTAAACTCAGTCAGCATGGCTTGTGAGACCCCAAGGGTGAGTAGTGAAATGGGAAGGAAACAGTGTTTCAGGCCTAGGGAAGAGCATGTTAGAACCCTGAGAGGAGGATATAGAGATTCAGTTACAAAGTTGGAGTTCTAGGAAGGGAATAGAGAAATCTGAATTTGGAGCCCTGAGCTGGGACTCCATTCTTGGAAAGACCTTTTAAACCTTGTCAGTGAATCAAGACATTACAGTAAGAGGATGGGAATTCATCCTCTGAATTAGGTACCCTGCAGTGGCAACTATTAAACTGAATTGTAACTGTTTTGTTTAATCGTTACCTCCATTAACTGGTGATGTGATCCCTGCCCAATTCCTCAGGCTTATCTCCTGCCTTCCCTTTCTACTCCTTAGCTGCTACCCAATCCCATGCCCCACCCCTTCACCCCCAACAGCAATGTACACACACAGTCCTCCAAACATACTGAAGTTCTGCCAGGTGCTCTTTTATCCCCTGGTCTTTTTCATCACCAGTCTCTACCCCTTGCCGTCTTCCAGCTAAATTTTGACTATTCCTCAGATCTCAGCCTAATCCTCACTTTGTTCTAGACTTCTTTCTTTGACGTCTAGACATCAGAGGTTAGGTTAAGTGATCCTGCTATGAACCTGTGATCGCATAGTCTGTGTTTTTCTCACATTATACTTATTATGATGTTTAATTTCAGCTTCCCTCAGACTCCAGTCACTTGAGAGCAGGAACTTGGTTTACTGGTACATCCCTAGTACCTGGCACATGGACACTAAAAAATTCAGATACTGAGAATGAGTCGATGTTCTGGGAGAATGAGGGGTGATTTCTTCTCTTGGAAATTTTAAGTCCTTAAATGTCTATTATCTCTGATCTTCATCGAAATCATTCTTTCTAATGACCCAAGTCTACTTTTCTTTAGGTGTGATGACCTGCATCAAAATTGGATTCTCTTGTCTTTACTTCTCACAGTTTTCTATAGCTGTTAGTGAGGAGAGGGGATCAAGGATGGGGGGGTGCTTCCAAATGGGCTAACTTCAGTGGGTGGAGGTGCCTCCTCTTGCACATTAACTTGAAATCAAGAAACACATCTGGGGCTTCCCTGGTGGTGCAGCAGTTGAGAGTCCGCCTGCCGATGCAGGGGACACGGGTTTGTGCCCCGGTCTGGGAAGATCCCACATGCCGCGGGGCGGCTGGGCCCGTGAGCCATGGCCGCTGAGCCTGCATGTCCGGAGCCTGTTGCTCCGCAACGGGAGAGGCTACAACAGTGAGAGGCCCGCGTACCGCAAAAAAAAAAAAAAGAAAAAAGAAACACATGTGGCTGAACTTTCCCATTTTGCCTGCCATGGAAAGCAGAAGACGGGAAAAATACAGCATTTTTTTACCTGCAAGCTAGTTTAGTTATTGTATTGTGAGAACATATATGAAACTACTCATGTTGTTGCATTAATTTTAATGTATTTTAACTAATTCTACTTCAGTTTTGCTGTGAGAGAGGCAGGTTGATAGTGAAAAGAGCACGACACGGCATTAGATATTGGAAGACAGGGTTTTTTCTGGCTCTGCTCTTTCTTAACTGTGTGACCTCTACTTTTTGATACTTAGTTTCCTAATCTATATAATTATTTACATAATTAAAATTCGTCACAAAATTTTATGAATGAAATGTGATGATGATGCATTAAAAATTGTAGAATGTAAGGTTCTATGCAGATGAGTTAATTTTTATTAAAATTATTTAATTATGCTATGTTCACTGATTCATCGTTCTAGACAATTTAGTCTTCTGAATTATCTTCTCTACGAAACTTCCTGAAATCTGATGTTTCTGTTTTATTTCCACAGTACTGAAGATTGGTAAAAAACTCTATGAGGGTAAAACAAAAGAAGTCTATGAATTGTTGGATAGTCCAGGAAAAGTCCTCCTGCAGTCCAAGGACCAGATTACAGCAGGAAATGCAGCCAGGAAGAATCACCTTGAAGGAAAAGCTGCAATCTCAAATAAAATTACCAGTTGTATTTTTCAGCTGTTACAGGAAGCAGGTGAGTGGCTCTCCCAGTAGCCTCCCCCTTCATGTTCTTTCTCACATATACATACTGGTCCTTTTCATCAGGAAATGACATTATTTGGATAAATAAGATGTTGATAACCAGTTGATTTTTTTTTTTTCAGTTGTTATAGGAAGCAGGTAAGTGACTCCCCCTACAGCCTCCTGTACCACTCTGATCTCTTTAATGGGGAGATGGCATTATCTGGTTTAACAACATGTTTGGGGATGCCTCACATGCTAAACTTATTTAAATTAAACCAGAAACTTAAATTTCACTGTAACACTTTACTTGGTTTGGAATTACTTAAGTAGTATCATTCAGTTAGTTAAAAGGAATCTTAACAGTTTGCTACAGTCTTTGTCTGGCATGTATTTCTGCAGCTTTCCTCTGCTAGGACATCTTAGGAGAGGCTTACCTATGAAGGAACTTAAGGAACTTAACCTGTGAAAGAAGCACATTCTGGTGTTTGGCAGCTCTAATTGATGAATTGAAATTTAGTCCCTAAAATTCTATATAAATTTGCTCCACCCATTGGAGATTATACAGAACTTCAAATCCCTCTTCTACTTGAAAGCCCTAAAAAGTAATTGAATACTGCAACCACGCCTTCTCATCCTGCCATACACCAAGTGAGAGATTTGGACTAGATCAAGATCTGCAGGGTTACCTCCTGCTCTAAAACTGAATGAAGACGATTTCCAATAGAGAAATCTATTCAAAAAATGAAATTCAGATCAAAACATTCTGTGGAGGGCGTTTGGAGTGAAAGAAGGGAAATTAGGATAACGGTTTTTCTGCAGGGATTCAGGCAAAAGCTGATTGGTCTGTAGTGTATAAAATCTCAGCTAGCAAAAGATTTGAGCTCTTTGCCTACAGTGTAAGAGACCCTGTGCCTTGGATCATTCAACGTGTGAAGCCTCCAGTTCCTTATCTGTAAAGTAAAAGCTTTGTTCTTTATCATTCCAGTTCTAATTTTACAGTTTAATATCATTGTCTCCATTTACTTCCAATATTCCCAGTTGCCCTCACATTTCTTAGATTTTCCAGTAAGCATTAATCTTAATTATTAGTAATTAAAAATTAATTAATTACTCTTTCTTAAATCCAAAGGGGAATTTAATACCTTTGTTTCCAGTGAAGATAGATATGCCTTCCACAAAATAACAAGGTAATTCAAGTTAAACCCATTCCGTCAATACAGAATAGGTTCTTGGGTAGTTTTGCCTCTTCCAGAGTACCCTGTTTCACATTTTTAATTAGTGTGTAAAAAATATGTTTACTTGACAACCTAAATTGTCATCCATATCATAAATCCCTCTATGCACTGAGGGTGAAAATATTGCTGTAAATTTAAAGCACCTCCCTCAGTTCATAAATAATACAACCCAGGATTTTTACTTCAAGGCCTCCTTGATTGGTGGTTTCCCAATGACTGAGTAGATTTCTAGAGAGAGCATCAAACTAATATTAGGTTTCTTTTGCAGTACAAATAAGTGCTCCATTTTTTAACCTCACAAGTTGTTTCCTCCCCATACATATTAAAATGGTTTATAGTTGCTAACACTGTAAGCTGTTAACAATACAACTAGCTTCTGTGTCCCCATAGTAATTGTACCCATCTATGGGATCATATATATGCATTTAAGTAATGGGGGACAAGTACAGGCCCAAGTTTTTATTTGCTTATTTAATAAGGCACCTATTCAGTGTACTTGCCAAGGCTTAAGGACAGGTGAATTAGGGTGATCCAGTTTTGACTCTCAAAGTCCTGCATGCAGCTGGGAAGGTTGGTCATCCATGTGAAGTACTCCAGCAGTCATCTATTTGGCACACTTAACATAGCTAAAACTTACTGGGTTCACAAGAAATGCTGAAAGGTGTTTTCCAGGTTTTATATACTGTGGAAAATCTAAGGTTTTAAAAATTCTTAAACAGATGATTAGTTTTAGGGTATGGATTAAGAGTTCTGTTAAGCCTTATATAATTTTTACTTGCTAGTAGTTAAATGCTATGTCTAGTTGACCATCAGTGGTCTATTTAAAACTGCTTTCTTGGGGCTTCCCTGGTGACGCAGTGGTTAAGAATCCACCTGCAGGGGACATGAGTTCGAGCCCTGGTCCGGGAAGATCCCACATGCCACGGAGCAACTAAGCCCGTGCACCACAACTACTGAGCCTGTGCTCTAGAGCCCGCGAACCACAACTACTGAGCTCACGTGCCACAGCTACTAAAACCCATGTGCCTAGAGCCCATGCTCCACAACAAGAGAAGCCACCGCAATGAGAAGCCCGTGCACCGCAATAAAGAGTAGCCCCTGCTCGTCGCAACTAGAGAAAGCCTGTGTACAGCAACGAAGACCCAATGTAGCCAAAAATAAAATTTAAAAAATAATAATAAATAAGTTTATTTAAAAAGTAAAATAAAACTGCTTTCTTTATAAACAGGCATATATTCCAAATTAAGATATTTCTAGAAATTCGAATGGAAAAAGCACCAGAATGAGAATCAGTAAATCATAATTCTAGTTTTCTCTTTGTCACTCATGAGCAAACTGTAAAAGACTGTATTACACATGCTGTACCTGAATTTTGAAGTTCCTGAATTTAGTCTCATTACCAAAAAAATCAAAATTTAACCTTTTAAGTTTCAGTTCCCTCCTGCACAGAAACACACTATGATTACATTTTGGTGTGATAGCAGTGATATGACTAACAGTCTTGGCAGCTGTTAAACCACAGGTGGGGAGCTGGGCAACCTTAATAGAGGGATGGCTCCAGCGCTGTCATACTTGGCCATTGTAATTCAGGATGTGAAATGACATTTACATTTTCTTAGTAGTCTTGATAGGAGTTTTGAATTTTGTAAACAACTGAGACTAATGGGAGGATTTCTTTTTCTCACCGTATGAAACCATGGAATTTGCTTTAATGATTAACACGTATATTAGAAGCAATCATTATATCATCTAAACTGAATCTCTTTTTTCTTAGTAGCAATTTTTTTTTGTTTTAATGTACAAGATCATTACCATAAGTTGATTCTGTGGTTTTGATTCCCTTAGATATAGGGGAGGACTTTCCTCTGAGTAACAGTAACTGTTGTGTATATTTGAACAATAGATTTGGATACTAGTCTATCAAGCTTGATAGACAACTGAGCAAATATGACTACTAGGTAACAAACCTAAAAAAGAAGAGCTCTTGGGCTTCCCTGGTGGCACAGTGGTTGAGAGTCCGCCTGCCAATGCAGGGGACGTGGGTTCGTGCCCCGGTCCGGGAGGATCCCACGTGCCGTGGAGCGGCTGGGCCCGTGAGCCATGGCCGCTGAGCCTGTGCATCCAGAGCCTGTGCTCTACAACGGGACAGGCCACAGCAGTGAGAAGCCCACGTACCGCAAAAAAAAAAAAAAAAAAAGAAGAGCTCTTAAACCCAGACATGTACTTACCACCTCAAGTTAAGGATTGATTTAAATCATCTGCCTGCCCATGAGCCCAATCATTCATTAAAGGTTAAAATGGCCTAAATATTGACACTTTTAACATTCTTTCCCGGAGTTGCTGTTCGTGCAGCATACAACAATTTATTTATTTATAAATTTATTTATTTTTGGCTGCATTGGGTCTTCATTGCTGCACAAGGGCTTTCTCTAGTTGCGGCAAGTGGGGGCTACTCTTCATTGCGGTGAGCAGGCTGCTCATTGTGGTGGCTTCTCTTGTTGTGGAGCACAGGCTCTAGGTGCGTGGGCTTCAGTAGTTGTGATGCATGGGCTTAGTTGCTCAGCGGCACGTGGAATCTTCCCAGACCAGGGATTGAACCCATGTCCCCTGCATTGGCAGCTGGATTCTTAACCACTGCGCCCCCAGGGAAGTCCACAATTTATTCTTTTCCCTGTTTTAATTGCATCTTCCTGGTCAAACCCAGAGGGAATGTGGAGAAAACAGTACAGGTTTAAAAACTGGATAGTGCATTTCAGGTCCAGGCTCCATTACGGATTGGCAGCATGACCTAACTTGTTAAGTTACTTAACTGCTGTGAACCTCTACTTCTTTCACTATAAAATGTGAATAATAACGCTACCTCAAAAATTTTATGTATGGTTAAATGAGATAATATGTAAAACACTTCGGGGACTTCCCTGGTAGTCCAGTGGCTAAGACTCCATGCTTCCAATGCAGGTGACCTGGGTTCTATCCCTGGTCAGGGAACTAGATCCCACATGCATACTGCAACTAAGAGTTTGCATGCCGCAGCTAAAGATCCCGCCTGCTGCAACTAAGACCTGGTGCAGCCAAAGTAAATAAATAATTTTTAAATAAATAAATAAAACACTCAGCATGATGCAGGTTTTCCATAAATGTAGGTTCCCTTTACATGTGGATACATACATATGTACATACATAGATAGATACATACATAAGATCAAAGATCTTCAGTCCTTTCCTGATAAGAAAAATTTGATCTTATTAGAGGTTTAGTTGGGAATTGGAGGTACTAATATTGTAGCCTGAAGATGAGCATTATTATGTTAAACCCATGCAGGTTAGTGCTATGATGTAATAACACGTCTAGGAGAGGCAGTATAGCATAGTGGTTAAGTGAGCAGTGTAAAGAGTTCAGACAGTGTGGGTTAGAAACCCTGCTTTACCTAGTACTAGCTGACATAACTCCTGTGTCTCAGTGTTGTTATCTGTTTCACTGGATGAACATCATACCTTATCAAGTGCTATGAGGAGTAAGCAAAAAGAAAATAAATTTATAATGCCTGACCTAAAGTAGGTCTTGCAAATTGTGGTAAAATACACACACATAAAATTTACCATGTTAACCATTTTTAAGTGTAGGATTCAGTGCCATTCAGGTACACTGACAATGTTGTGCAACCATCACCACTATCAATTTCTGGAACTTTTTCATCATTTTAGACAGAACCTCTGACCCATTAAACAATAACTCTCCCCTGATAACCTCTATTCTACTTTCTGTCTCTATGAATTTGCCTGTTTTAGGTACCTCATATAAGTGGAATTATACAATTTTCACCTTTATTTCACTCAGCATAATGTTTTCATGAATCATTCATCATGCTGTAGCATATATCAGAATTCCCTCCTTTTTGTGACTGAATAGTAATTCATTGTATGTAAACTCCATTTTATCTGTCCACTACACTCATCTGTTGTTAGACACTTGGGTTATTTCCCCCTTTTTGGCTACTGTTAATAATGATACTGTGAACATTGGTGTACAAATATGTTTGAGACCTTGCTTTCAGTTCTTTTGTGTATATACGTAGAGTGGAATTGCTGGATCATATAGCTTATAATACATTGTAACCACTATAAGAGAGGTTGTTATTTTCCAAGGCCGCCACGTAAACTAGCTCTTTATCTTAGTTTTCCAGTAACAGTTTGCTTAAGAGTGAACAGAGGACGGGCAAATATTTTCTTCGCTCTTGGCCAAATTGGCCTCCATGTTCCTGCTGCTACCTGTTGAATGCTTTTTTCAAGGACTCTTTGCTTTAAATATTGAGAGAAAAAGGCTGTCCAGAATTTACGGCTGTATCTGATTATGATAAATAGATTAATATTTTACAAGGCCCATATAATCCCAGACCATAGAATGAGAATTCTGCCACCAGATCTGATTTAGAGATGATTTAGTGCCACTTAGTCATGTGCCTTGTGCAAAGTTAGGTGCACAGTGGCAGAGGAGATAGTATTTTTTGAACAAATGAATGATGGTAAAAACATTGGGACCCAGATTTTTTGATCCAGCTTGCCTTGCAACATTAACATGAAATATTCCTGAATATTTTGATAAGCAGTAGAAAGCCATATTAATACTTTTTTTTCCTACTTCTGCCTTTTTAAAAAAATTTACATTTGTTTTTGATAGTGCCATTTAAAGGTAATGCATTTGGCTACATAGGCTTTTTGTTTTGTTGTTTGTAAAGGGTAGAGTTTTATTATGCCTCAGATCTCCCTTTTTAAATACAATTTTAATGCTTTTTTTTCTTTTTGTCATCAATCTGTAGGTATCAAAACTGCTTTCGCCAGAAAATGTGGAGAGACAGCTTTCATTGCACCTAAGTGTGAAATGATTCCAATTGAATGGGTTTGTAGAAGAATAGCAACTGGTTCTTTTCTCAAAAGAAATCCTGGTGTCAAGGAAGGATATAAGTTCTACCCACCTAAAGTAGAGATGTTTTTCAAGGTAATTATTTTATACCTCCCTGTCTTACTATAACATAGCAATAAGTTTATTACAAAGTCAAAAGATTTAAATATTATCAAAGCTTTTGATACTACAGTTGTCATTCCAGAAATATTTGTCAAAAATGTACACTTTAATTAGCAATGATAATTCAGATTTTTAAAAGAAAACCTTTGAAAATCTGCTTATCTTATTTTGGACCAACGTGACTAACAAAATGAACAAATTAAAATTAGCAGTTACGAGTCACTGGGAGAACCTTTCACAGAAGCATGGAGTGACACTTTGTCCTCAGGAAAAGGTGTTTTTTGTTTTTGGAGGTGGGTTGTGGGATCTTAGTTCCCCAACCAGGGATTGAAGGCGTGCCCTAGTCCTAACCACTGGACAGCCAGGGAATTGCCAGGAACAGGTTGGTGGGAAGCCTGGGTGAAGAAAAGAAGATGAACACAAGAACCAGGTTCAAATCACCTGTACTCTTTGAACCCTATTAGGTGAAGCCAGAGTGAGGCCTTCACATAATGAGATTGAACTACCTGTTTTCTAAAAGGAAAACCAGTACAAAGATTAAAGAAAAAATTACTGTTATCTACAGTCCTGTGGCTGACAGGGTCTTGGTGCTCCCGCCAGGTGTCAGACCTGAGCCTCTGAGGTAAGAGAGCCGAGTTCAGGACATTGGACCACCAGAAACCTCCTGGCCCCACGTAATATCAATCGGCAAGAGCTCTCCGAGAGATCTGTGTCTCAGTGCTAAGACCCTGCTCCACTCAACGACCAGCAAGCTCCAGTGCTGGGCAGCCCATGCCAAACAGCTAGCAAGACAGGAACACAACCCCACCCATTAGCAGAGAGGCTGCCTATAATCATAATAAGTTCACAGACACCCCAAAACACAACACCAGACACAGTCCTGCCCACCAGAAAAACAAGATCCAGCCTCATCCAACAGCACACAGGCACCAGTCCCCTCCACCAGGAAGCCTACACAACCCACTGAACCAACCTGGGGGCAGACACCAAAAACAACAGGAACTATGAATGTGCAGCCTGTGAAAAGGAGACCTCAAACACAGTAAGTTAAGCAAAATGAAAAGACAGAGAAATACACAGCAGATGAAGAAGCAAGGTAAAAACCCACCAGACCAAACAAATGAAGAGGAAATAGGCAGTCTACCTGAAAAAGAATTCAGAGTAACGATTGTAAAGATGATCTAAAATCTTGGAAATAGAATGGAGAAAATGCAACAACTGTTTAACAAGGACCTAGAAGAACTAAAGAGCAAACAAACAATGATGAACAGCACAGTAAATGAAATTAAAAATTCTCTAGAAGGAATCAGTACTAAAATAACTGAGGCAAAAGATGGGATAAGTGACCTGGAAGATGAAATAGTGGAAATAACTACTGCAGAGCAGAATAAAGAAAAAAGGATGAAAAGAATTGAGGACCATCTGAGACACCTCTGGGACAACATTAAACACACCAAGATTCGAATTATAGGGGTCCCAGAAGAAGAATAGGAAAAAAAGGGGACTGAGAAAATATTTGAAGAGATTATAGTTGAAAACTTCCCTAATATGGGAAAGGAAATAGTCAATCAAGTCTAGGAAGTGCAGAGTCCCATATAGGATAAATGCAAGGAGAAACATGCCAAGACACATATTAATCAAACTATCTGAAATTAAATACAAAGAAAAAATATTGAAAGTACCAAGGGAAAAGCAACAAATAACGTACAAGGGAATCCCCATAAGGGTAACAGCTGATTTTTCAGCAGAAACTCTGCAAGCCAGAAGGGAGTAGCAAGACATATTTAAAGTGATGAAAGGGAAAAACCTACAACCAGGGTTACTCTGTCCGGCAAGGATCTCATTCAGATTTGACGGAGAAATTAAAACCTTTACAGACAAGCAAAAGCTAAGAGAATTCAGCACCACCAAACCAGCTTTACAACAAATGATAAAGGAACTTCTCTAGACAGGAAAAACAAGAGAAGGAAAAGACCTACAATAACACACCCAAAACACTAAGAAAATAGTAATAGGAACATACATATCTATAATTACCTTAAAAGTAAATGGATTATGGGCTTCCCTGGTGGCGCAGTGGTTGAAAGTCCGCCTGCTGATGCAGGGGACACGGGTTCGTGCCCCAGTCCGGGAAGATCCCACGTGCCGCGGAGCGGCTGGGCCCATGAGCCATGGCTGCTGAGCCTGCGCGTCCGGAGCCTGTGCTCCACAATGGGAGAGGCCACAACAGTGAGAGGCCCGTGTACCACAAAAAAAAAAAAAAAAAAAGTAAATGGATTAAATGCTCCAACCAAAAGACATAGACTGGCTGAATGGATACAAAAACAAGACCCGTATTTATGCTGTCTACAAGAGACTCACTTCAGACCTATGGACACATACAGACTGAAAGTGAGGGGATGGAAAAAGATATTCCATGCAAATGGAAATCAAAAGAAATCTAGAGTAGCAAATCTCATATCAGACAAAAATAGCCTTTAAAATAAAGACTATTACAAGAGACAAAGAAGGACACTACAGAATGATCAAGGGATCAATCCAAGAAGAAGATATAACAATTGTAAATATTTATGCACCCAGCATAAGAGCATCTCAATACATGAGGCAAATGGTAACAGCCATAAAAGGGAAAATCGACAGTTACACAATAATAGTAGGGGACTTATAACACCCCACTTTCACCAATGGACAGATCAACCAAAATGAAAATAAGTGAGGAAACACATGTTTTAAATGACACATTAAACAGGATGGACTTAATTGATATTTACAGGACATTCCATCCAAAACCAACAGAATACACTTTCTTCTCAAGTGCTGATGGAACATTCTCCAGGATAGATGATATCTTGGGTCACAAATCAAGTAAGTTTAAGAAAATTGAAATCATATCAAGTATCTTTTCCAACTACAATGCTGAGACTGGATATCAATTACAGGAAAAAAATTGTAACAAAATACAAGCACATGGAGGCTAAAAAATACACTACTAAATAGCCAAGAGGTCACTGAAGAAATCAAAGAGGAAATCAAAAAATACCTAGAAACAAATGACAATGAAAACACGACAACCCAAAACCTATGGGATGCAGCAAAAGCAGTTCTAAGAGGGAAGTTTATAGCAATACAATCCTACCTCAAGAAACAAGAAATATCTCAAATAAACAACCTAACCTTACACATAAAGCAATTAGAGAAAGAAGAACAAAAAAAAACCCAAAGTGAGCAGAAGGAAAGAAATCATAAAGATCAGATCAGAAATAAATGAAAAGAAATGGAGGAAATGATAGCAAAGATCAATAAAACTAAAAGCTGGTTCTTTGAGAAGATAAACAAAATTGATAAACCTTTAGCCAGACTCATCAAAAAAAAAAGGGAGAAGACTCAAATCAATAGAATTAGAAATGAAAAAGGGGAAGTAACAACTGACACTGCAGAAATACAAAGGATCATGAGAGATTACTACAAGCAACTATATGCATAAAATGGACAATCTGGAAGAAATGGAGAAATTCTTAGAAAGACACAACCTTCCAAGACTGAACCAGAAAGAAATAGAAAATAGAAACGGACCAATCACAGACACTGAAATTGTGACTGTGGTTAAAAATCTTCCAGCAAACAAAAGCCCAGGACCAGATGTCTTCACAAGTGAATTCTATCAAACATTTAGAGAAGAGCTACACCTATCCTTCTCAAACTCTTCCTAAATATAGCAGAGGGAGGAACACTCCCAAACTCATTCCGCAAGGCTACCATCACCTTGATACCAAAACCAGACAAAGATGTCACAAAAAAAGAAACCTATGGGCCAATATCACTGATGAACATAGATGCAAAAATCCTCAACAAAATACTAGCAAACAAAATCCAACAGCACATTAAAAGGATCATACACCATGATCAAGTGGGGTTTATCCCAGGAATGCAAGGGTTCTTCAATATATGCAAATCAATCAATGTGATACACCATATTAACAAATTGACGGATGAAAACTATGTGATGATCTCAATAGATGCAGAAAAAGTTTTTGACAAAATTCAACACCCATTTATGATAAAAACTCTCCAGAAAGTAGGCATAGAGGGAACTTACCTCAACATAATAAAGGCCATATATGACAAACCCACAACAAACATCGTTCTCAATGGTGAAAAACTGAAGCCTTTTCCACTAAGATCAGGAACAATACAAAGTTGCCCACTCTCACCACTATTATTCAACATAATTTTGGAAGTTTTAGCCACAGCAATCAGAGAAGAAAAATAAAAGGAATCCAAATCGGAAAAGAAGAAGTAAAACTGTCACTGTAGATGAGATGGTAGTATACACAGAGAATCCTAAAGATGCTACCAGAAAACTACTAGAGCTAATCAATGAATTTGGTAATGTTACAGGATACAAAATTAATGCTCAGAAATCTCTTGCATTCGTATACACTGATGATGAAAAATCTGAAAGAGAAATTAAGGAAACACTCCCATTTACCACTGCAACAAAAAGAATAAAATACCTAGGAATAAACCTACCTCAGGACACAAAAGACCTGTATACAGAAAACTATAAGACACTTGAAAGAAGTTAAAGATGATACAAACAGATGGAGAGATATACCATGTTCTTGGATTGGAAGAATCAACATTGTGAAAATGACTATACCACCCAAAGCAATCTACAGATTCAATGCAATCCCTATCAAACTACCACTGGCATTTTTCACAGAACTAGAACAAAAAAATTCACAATTTGTATGGAAACACAAAAGACCCTGAATAGCCAAAGCAATCTTGTGAAAGAAAAACGGAGCTGGAGGAATCAGGCTCCCTGACTTTAGACTATACTACAAAGGTACAGTAATAAGACAGTATGGTACTGGCACAAAAACAAATATAGACCAATGGAACAGGATAGAAAGCCCAGAGATAAACCCATGCACTTATGGTCATCTTATCTTTGATAAAGGAGGTAAGAGTATACAATGGAGAAAAGACAACCTCTTCAGTAAGTGCTGCTGGGAAAACTGGACAACTACATGTAAAGGAATGAAATTAGAACACTCCCTAACACCATACACAAAAATAAACTCAAAATGGATTAAAGAGCTAAATGTAAGGCCAGACACTATAAAACTCTTAAAGGAAAACATAGGCAGAGCACTCTATGACATAAATCACAGCAATATCCTTTTTTACCCACCTCCTAGAGTAATGGAAATAAAAACAAAAATAAACAGATGGGACCTAATGAAACTTCAAAGCTTTTGCACAGCCAAGGAAAACATAAACAAGATGAAAAGACAACCCTCAGAATGGGAGAAAATATTTGCAAACAGAGCAACTGACAAAGGATTAATCTCCAAAATATACAAGCAACTCATGCAGCTCAATATCAAAAAACATCAACCCAATCCAAAAATGGGCAGAAGACCTAAATAGACATTTCTCCAAAGAAGATATACAGATTGCCAACAAACACATGAAAGGATGTTCATCATCACTAACCATTAGAGAAATGCAAATCAAAACTACAATGAGGTATTACCTCACACCAGTCAGAATGGCCATCATTAAAAAAAATCTAGAAACAATAAATGCTGGTGAGGGTGTTGAGAAAAGGGAACCCTCTTGCACTGTTGGTGGGAATGTAAATTGATACAGCCATTATGGAGAACAGTATGGAGGTTCCTTAAAAAACTACAAATAGAACTACCATATGACCCAGCAATCCCACTACTGGGCATATACCCTGAGGAAACCATAATTCAAAAAGGGACATGTACCACAATATTCACTGTAGCACTATTTACAATATCCAGGACATGGAAGCAATCTAAGTGTGCAGCAACAGATGAATGGATAAAGAAGATGTGGCACATATATACAATGGAATATTACTCAGCCATAAAAAGAAATGAAATTGAGTTATTTGTAGCGAGGTGGATGGACCTAGAGACTGTCATACAGAGTGAAGTAAGTCAGAAAGAGAAGAACAAATACTGTATGCTTACACCTATATATGGAATCTTAAAAAAAAAAGAAAAAGTCCTGAAGAACCTAGGGGCATGACAGGAAAAAAGACACAGATGTAGAGATTGGACTTGAGGACATTGGGACAGGGAAGGGTAAGCTGGGTCGAAGTGAGAGAGTGGTATTGACATATATACACTACTGAATGTAAAATAGATAGCTGGTGGGAAGCTGCCTCATAGTATAGGGAGATCAGCTCGGTGCTTTGTGACCACCTAGAGGGGTGGGATAGAGATGCAAGAGGGAAGGGATATGGGGATATATGTATACGTATAGCTGATTCACTTTGTTATACAGCAGAAATTAACACAACAATATAAAGCAATTACACTCCAATAAAGATGTTAAAAAATAAATAAATAAAAAGTACAATTAGCAGTTATTAGGAAGAAGAGAAAAGTAACAATTTAGTAAATTTTTAAATCTATTATTGAAGAGTTTGAGGTAAAGGCTAATAAGGGGACCATATTTTTATATTCTTTTTTTTTTTGGCCACACTGTGTGGCTTGTAGGATCTCAGTTCCCCAACCAGGGATTGGACCCAGGCCACAGTAGTGAAAGCCTGGAATCCTAACCACTGTGCAGCAGGGAACTCCCAAGGGATCTTTTTATAGTCTAATACAGAAAAACTGTTACTCTCAATGTTTCTTATAATCAAAAACATGCAATAAAGGATGTAGGAATCACGGTCATGAATTTGTATTGGTTTTCTTTATTGAAACTGCTTTTTTCTTTTCATCTTTGTTTATGCTGTTAAGTATATTTCTTCTATTTCAGAAGCACTGTTATTGTTGCTTTTTATTTTATTTATTTATTTTTTTTTTTATGGGCTACGCTGTGCAACTTGTGGGATCTTAGTTCTCCAACCTGGGGTTGAACCCAGGCCTTCGGCCGTAAAAGCACAGAGTCCTAACCACTGGACCACCAGGGAATTCCCTGCTGTTGCACTTTTATTCAGTGAACTGCACAGCTTAAAGCATTGTCTTACAATTATATAAATCAAGAATCCATAAAAGAAAAATTTCGTGTTCAGTTGGGACACTACTTAGAATAAAATGAAAGTATTTTATTTTTTCACGCATCTCTTTACTTTGCACGAAGTCTCTTGAATTATCAAGTAATGTCACTGAGGACTTATAGTCTTGTATAAATTCTTATCAAAAATAAGGTCAGCGGATTAGGAAAGTTGCATTTTGGAAAGATTTTGTGGACTAAAATGTGTTTTGGCCTTCTTACCATCTGTGTTGCCTCTGATTAAGGAAAGATAAAAATCACAAACTTGTATTTAAATTATTTATATATGGAAAGCAAATTCTTTACAAATACTTTATGACATAGAATAAGTTACCCCAAAATTTTGAATTTAAAGTAGCTATTGAAAATAGAAGAGTTTAAAATGATTGCTGTGAATTAAAGGGTATTTTAAACAAACATCAAATATTTAGAGAAAATGAATATTTCTGAGGAATTTATCGTGCTCAAGGGAAAAAGGACTTCAGTTTATCTGAAAAAGTTCAAAATGTTTGTATTTAATTGTACTTTTTTCTATACTTTTTTCTCAGGATGATGCTAATAATGATCCGCAGTGGTCTGAGGAACAGCTAATTGCTGCAAATTTTTGCTTTGCTGCACTTGTTATAGGCCAAACTGAAGTGGATATCATGAGTCATGCTACACAGGCTATTTTTGAAATACTGGAGAAATCCTGGTTGCCCCAGAACTGTACACTGGTTGATATGAAGGTACAAATGAAATGGAGTTTTGAAAGTAAAGGTTATAACCGAGAAATGTCTTTAGTAGTAATTTTGAAAAACTCTTTGGTGATGTGCTATTTCTAGATTGAATTTGGTGTTGATGTAACCACCAAAGAAATTGTTCTTGCTGATGTTATTGATAATGATTCCTGGAGACTCTGGCCATCAGGAGATCGAAGCCAACAAAAAGACAAACAGGTAGGTAATGCTTCAGGTTTTCTTTAATCCTTTGCAAGATCAGGCTGGGATAGAGGAGAAAGGGAAGATGGGAGGAAAAGAAAAGTCAGTTATTGTTACGATATGAACCTGAGTTGTTGATTGCTATTTATTTTTAAAGATAAATATCTCTTATGTTTCATATATCATGGAAAAAAGATAGGAGTGATACTTTACATTTATGAAGCAGATTTCTCATTTATTATTTTAATAGACTCAAGTATTATCCTTGTTTGGCTAATTGAAACCTAAGGCTCTAAGATGATAGATATCTTCACAGTTACAAGAGTTAGTGGCAGATCTGGAACTCGGGTCTTGCAGATCTTATCAGGCTCCATATCTGCTCTTTCCTATGAAAAACAAAATTAGGGCAAGACCCTCTCTATATTTAATACATAAGAATTGTCAGGGCAGCTAATTGTAGTTGCTGGTGTAGTAACTCAAATGAAAATACAAGTATACATCACTATCTGAAGTTTCTCTAGTCTAATTCAGGAAATCAATTTGTTGACTCACATACATTTTCAGATATATCCTTTGCTATGCAAACTCTTCATAATCCGTACCCAAAACTCAGAAACCAAATAATTTCAGATAGGAAGACTATTACTAATGGAATACTTTACCCCGTCTTCTTTTCTATCAGAAAATTCTGGCTCTTTGAACTGACTTAGGTCTGGGAATTGGGTGAGAGGTAGTGAGTCTCTATAATGGTGGCTCACGTCAGTCATCTTTGCTTACTAGATCTAGTTGCTGGGTGTTTTTTGGGGGAAGGAGTAGGGGGAGTTCATGCACATCTAGTAGTTGTATTCTAAACTTTATATCTTATTTTCTAGTCGTACCGTGACCTCAAGGAAGTAACTCCTGAAGGGCTGCAGATGGTAAAGAAAAATTTTGAGTGGGTTGCAGAAAGAGTAGAGGTAAACCTTTTGTAATAAATCAGTATTGTATTTTTATGTTTTTCTCCAAGAAAATCTTGCTTCAAAAAGAAAAAAAAAAATGAGAGGGTGCAGTGCTTTTCTTTTTTCCAGTGACTTTAAAGAAAGGAGCACCTTTAAAAAATGTACCAGCTGAACTATCCTCACTGGCATACTGGAACTCCCTGCTATGAAACTGGCCAGTCATCTCCCAAATCCTGTTGGGGAAACCTGGAATCCTTTCCTCCCTGCCCCCTATAGGAGGGGGCACCTACCCACCTCTCCACTGCTACTCAGAGTTCTACTAGCAAGAGTTTAGAATTGGAACTCCATGTGACATTAAAATGTCACTCTAAAATTTATGGTATTATTATTAGTATAATTCCATGGAAATTGAATGGGGTTTATGGTTATCCAAGGGTAGTAATTACTTTGTAGAACATCATTTCCATAGGAACATGCATTTTGAATTCCAAGCAACTAACTTAAGAAGATTTATAATATGACTTCTATTATGGCTGATTATACCTTAAAACCCCCATTGAACAGAATGTACTAAAAATCTTCAATGACATATTTTATATTGTAGCTTCCTGAATATTAATTAAAAGGTTTGAGTATTTATCCTTGCTTTTTATTACAATAGTAAACAATTTATCTGATTAAAAATCTTACTCATTAGGTCTTAGTTATGAAGACCACTTTCCTTTATATAGAGAGGCTATTTTGAAAAATAAATCCTCTATCATTTTGTCCTGCTTGTCTGTCTTAAATTTGGTCTATTAAAGGAAATATTGTGGCAGGTTGTAATTTTACTATAAGCTATAGCTCTGTAAACTGACTATTCTTACAGTACTCATTCCTATATTTATTCATTTTTGTCTTTGCCTTCTTTTGCATATTCATGTTTTTCTTTTCCAGTTGCTTCTGAAACCAGAAAGTCAGTGCAGGGTTGTAGTACTGATGGGCTCAACCTCTGATCTTAGTCACTGTGAAAAAATTAAGAAGGCTTGTGGAAATTTTGGCATTCCCTGTGAACTTAGGGTAACATCTGCCCATAAAGGACCAGATGAAACTCTGAGGATTAAAGCTGAGTATGAAGGTAAATGTAGAATAACTAGAGCATTTCAGGAAGTTCTCCTGATTTTGCCCCAAATTTTATGTTTAGACTAATAATGCTGAAAAATAGTTTCACCACATTCCAAGGGAAAAAATGTGATATTCTAGGCTTTCATGATGTTTACCTCCAGAAGTTTTAAGGTGCTCTAGGAGCTTATAAAAAAGAATGGACCAGGGAGAAAGAACTGAAAATGCAAGCATGGGAGGAAAATGAAGACTAGAATTAGTCTTTACCTAATCCCCTCAAGCATCGTTTCTAATATGCTCCAACAGAAGATAGGCCCCACGTCAATTACAGAAGGAGGGCCTAGGGTTGAAGCAGCAGATCCTCTCAAGTATCTTTAAGGGTCAGCCTTTCCTGGGAGGCAGTCAAACATGAAATTAAGGAATAATTTCAGAATTTAGTATATAAAAGAAATGTCTTGATGGGATAGCATCTAAAATATGGAGCCCTGTAGATTGGAATGTTTCTCAACTGGAAAAAATATTGGTTGAGTATTCCTTCTGAAGGTAGTTGCTATAGGAGCATATTTACTGAATTTTGGAGGGTTTTTTTTTTCAGGGGGTGGGTGGGAAGGTCTCAGACCTCTTTGATAAGCTAATAAAAGCCAGATCTCTTTCTCCAGAAAAATGCAAATGTAAAATTTTGGATTCTAAGTTAGGAATCACTGTTGTAGGAAACAAAAGAATAACTTATGAATTTACGAAAGAATAAAATATTTATGAGGTATGTTTAAAAATATATTGAAGGGTCTTAAATATTTCAGTACTATATTATTGAATTCAGTTCCTCAACTCTTATTTCAAGAAATGTCAGTAAATACATATATGTGGAACCTAGAAAAATGGTACAGATGAACCGGTTTGCAGGGCAGAAATCGAGACACAGATGTAGAGAACAAACATATGGCCACCAAGGGGGGAAACCCGCCGGGGGTGGGGGTGGGGGTGTGATGAATTGGGCGATTGGGATTGACATGTATACACTGATGTATATAAAATTGATGACTAATAAGGACCTGGTGTATAAAAAAAGATAAAATAGAAAAATTAAAAAAAAAAAAGTGTCACTAAACCTCTAGTCTCTATTAATTGTATCTCCCATACCCTGTTGGTTGAAAGACACCAGGACAGATGCCGCTTCAGGTGGTGTCATTCTTTGCTTCAGCGAGCCGAAGTAGCAATAGTGGAAGGGGCTTTTGAACCATTCCCTCACTCACGCCCTGGTGTTATACCTCCTTTATACTACAGATCTCAAAGATGGCCAAACTTCTTCTTGCTACTTCATTACTTGATATACAGTAAGTGGCAGAGTGAACCTTATATTTTGAATATATATTTAATAATAGTGTCAATATAGTGCTTTTTCTGGAGACTACTGTTAAAGAACTCAAGGAGTTACTACACATGGGCCCTTTTTTTTTTTTTAACCTATCTTTAAATCTCTTGAGTGCTTAGCCTAATTATAAACTTGTAATTTGCCTAGGGGATGGCATTCCTACTGTATTTGTGGCAGTGGCAGGCAGAAGCAATGGTTTAGGACCAGTGATGTCTGGTAACACAGCATATCCAGTTATCAGCTGTCCTCCCCTCACTCCAGACTGGGGAGCTCAGGATGTGTGGTCTTCTCTTCGATTACCCAGTGGTAAGATAATTGAATTTTTAAAAAAAGTTTATTAAAAAGTTTCAACTATGCACTGTAATAGAATAACATTATGAAATCTCACATACCCATTACCCAGCTTCAGAAATTAACATCTTGTTGCATCTATAGCCCTCTCCTGCTGGATTATTTAAAGCAGATCTGAGAAATTATGGCATTTTATACTTCAGTATTTACGTATGTCTTTCTAAATGATAAAGACTCTAGTTTTAAAATCATAATGATACCATATTCACACCTAAGGAAAATTAATGGTAATTTCTTAAAATCTAATTTCCAACTAGTGTTCATTTTTCCAGTTGTCTCATTTGTTTTTACAGTTTATTCAAATTAAGATCCAACATAGCCCTTATATTGCATTTAGTTGATATATCTCTAAAGTCTCTTTTTTTGTTGTTCTGTTTTTGTTTTTTGGGGGGTTTTTTTGCGGTACGCGGGCCTCTTACTGCTGCGGCCTCTCCCGTTGCGGAGCACAGGCTCCGGACGCGCAGGCTCAGTGGCCATGGCTCACGGACCTAGCCGCTCCATGGCATGTGGGATCCTCCTGGACCGGGGCACAAACCCGTGTCCCCTGCATCGGCAGGCGGACTCCCAACCACTGCGCCACCAGGGAAGCCCTAAAGTCCCTTTTAATCTTTTTTTTTTTCCTCTTTCACTTCTCCTATAGAATTTTCCGCATTCTGGACTTAGCTGATTACATTTCTGGGTGTTGTTTAACATGCTCTTCCATCCCCTATTTTCTGTAAAGTGGTGGTAAAATCTGTAGTTAGATCAAGTTCATATTTGGTTTTGGGTTTTGTTTTTTTCCCCACCCAAGAATACATCATTCATGGTATTTTGTTGTTTGTTTTGTTTTGTTTTTTGTAAATGTGATTGTTACTTCTGTAGAGGAAATAAAATATTTAAAACTTAGGTATTAGAATAATTAAAACCAAGGAAGTTTCATCAGTTGGCTGGCTGAGCAGGATCTCATAAAATAACAATATTGTTGTGTGCTCATCATGGTCCAAGATAATGATCTGATCTATAAGGCCTGAGTGTCAGTACTGTTTCAGTAAGAGTCGATTTGCTTATCACTTAATATACCTCATATTTTTCTCACAGTCGTGTAAGTGTAAATCCGCTCTTGATACGTGTTAAGTAAGTGTGCCCTCTGACATGTTCCCATATGGACTGGCTTCTCTCTAGGCCTGCTGCACTGCTCGTCTTAGGATCTCTCTCTACAGCATCCTGGACATTCATTTTGCCTTTCTCTAGTCTTGGATCTCCTGTTTCCTAGGTCCCATATCTTTACCTTCTTGGTTTACTTTTTGTTGGAGAGCATTCTAGTGAACTTTCTGAGGAAAGGGTACAGAAGATAAACTTTTTGAGACCTTGTATACCTAAAACGTTTTTATTGCAGCTCAGTCTGATTTGATAATTTAGGAATAGAATTCGAGGTTGAAAACTATTTTCTGTCAGAATTTTTTCTTTTTTAAATTTATTTATTTTATTTATTTTTGGCTGCATTGGGTCTTTGTTGCTGCTTGTAGGCTTTCTCTAGTTGCAGTGAGCAGGGACTACTCTTCGTTGCAGTGTGCGGGCTTCTCATTGCGGTGGCTTCTCTTGTTGCGGAGCTTGGGCTGTAGGCGCGCGGGCTTCAGTAGTTGTGGTGGGCAGGCTCAGTAGTTGTGGCTTGCAGGCTTTAGAGCGCAGGCTCAGTAGTTGTGGTGCATGAGCTTAGTTGCTCCGTGGCATGTGGGATCTTCCCGGACCAGGGCTCGAACCTGTGTTCCCTGCATTGGCAGGCAGGAACCACTGTGCTATCAGGGAAGCCCTGTCAGAATTTTGAGGTTATTACTCTGCTGTCTTCTAGCTTCCAGAGTTATTGAGAACTCCAGGGCCCTTCCACCATTCTGGTTCTAGGTCATTTATGAATTTTGTTTCTTTCTGGAAACTTCTTGGATCTTTTATCAATCCATTATTCTTAAATTTCACGAAGATGCGTCTTGGTGAGTCTGTTTTCTTCCTGGGCTTGTAGTGGGCTCTTTTAATCTGGAACTTTGATTCTTTAGTCCTGGGAAATTTTCTTGAATTACTTAATAATTTCCTTCCGCCTCCATTTTCTTTCTTCTTTCATTTTTGGATTTACTTTTCACTGCCTTGATTTCTATTTTGTTTTCTTATTCTTTCTTTTTTTAATATTTATTTTATTTTTGGCTGTGCTGGGTCTTAGTTGTGGCATGCAGACTTCGTAGTTGCAGCACGCAGGAACTTCATTGTGACATGTGGACTCTAGTTGCAGCATGCATGTGGGATCTAGTTCCCCAACCAGGAATCGAACCCGGGTCCCCTGCATTGGGAGCATGGAGTCTTACCCACTGCACCACCAGGGAAGTCCCTGTTTTCTTATTCTTGTTGCCATACTTTCTGGAAGATCTCTTCAACTTTACATTTCAACCCATCTTTTACATTTCAACCCATCTATTGAGCTTTTCATTTTGAATGTGGTATTTTGAATTTCTTACAGCTCTTTTTTGTTCTCTGGTCTCCCCCTACCACCTCCCCAAACATCCTTTTCTTGTTTAATCTTTGCAATAACCTCCTTTATCTCTCTGAGCTTATTATTGTTCCTTTCATATTAGTTCCTTTCCATAGCTGTTTGCTAATAAGCCTTGGCTGTTTTCTCTTGTTTAAGAATGGCACTGTAAAAACCAATTGGAGGGAGTTCCCTGGTGGTCCAGTGGCTAAGACTTCACGCTCCCAATGCAGGGGGCACGGGTTCCATCCCTGGTCAGGGAACTAGATCCCACATGCATGCCGCAACTAAAAGATCCCACATCCTGCAATGAAGATCCTGTGTGCTGTAACTAAGACCTGGTACAGCCAAATAAATAAATATAATTTTTTTTAAGTGTCATAAAAAACCAATTGGAAGCTCTGCAAGTGGGTAGGGCTTGTCAAAAGTGGCCTCCACTGTGAGTGATCTTGTAGGGTCATTCTTTGAATAACCCCTCACATCAGTGTCTTTGATCTTTTCTCATGTGTTGGCCAGAATTACCCAGAGAACATTTTTAGTCTCAGTCTCCTGCCTGAGTTTGTTAACATGTGCAAACTTAATCCCATGTTTTCACTGTGGCATTCCTTACTTCACCTGTGCCCGGTTGGCACAGAAGTCTGGACTAAAGTCTGTTTAGTCTCCAGAAGAATTTAAAACTCTGCCATGGTGCAGAAGGGGCCATTGTTCAGGTACATAGAGTGGGGAGGAGGATCTGATGGCCTTACTTCTTCTTGGCTTTCACTCAGTCTTCTTCTTTTTAGCCCCATTTTCAACCTGATTCCTCCCCTAAAAGGTATCTGGTGTCACCAGTTCCTCAACCTTTGAGTGGGTTCTGTAATGTCAGGCTGCTTCTCATCTTTCCCTGCTTCTAGTTAGGATTAAATTTTCTTGGTCTGCTAAGTTAGTTAGTACTCCCTTTGCCAAAATGTAAGATCCTGAAAACTTCGTTCCTCTTGCTCTTATGGCATGCTCACCAGGTAACTTAATTTTTTGCTAATTAGGTTTTCTTGACATCAGAAAGTGAGTCATGGGCAGTAGGCACAGGTACTTCAGTTGTTAGAGTGGAATGCTCTACCTAATTTATTACTACTACTACTACTACTACTAATGGTTGACATTCATTGAGTATTTACTATGTGTCAGGCACTGCTCCAAGCACTTTATCTGTATTAACTCACTGAATCCTCACATAAGGTAGCTACTAGTTATCATCCCCATGTTACATAAGGACACTAAAATTAATTTGGCTGATGTTGGTTATGTAGTAAGTAGCAGAGCTGTGTAAATTGATTTATTAATACAAATTAAATCTTGTGATTTATATTTTAGTCTGTTCTTATTGGGGATAGTGAGAGTCAAAGAGCCTGATGAATTCCAAGAGTATTTAGGGAAATTGGATCTTTTGGATCTATAACCTATTTAGTCCTTGACTCTAATGACACAGACATAATAGTACCACCTCGAGAAACTGCCTGAGCAAACCTGTGGTCCCCGAGGAAGTTACTTTCTAGTCTACTGTCTTTTAGATCTTATTACTATTGAATTTATTTATAATATTTCTTAAAATTATTTTATGGATTTGACTTTTCCACTGCTTAAAAATGTTAGAATAATTCAAGTGCAAAAACAAAAGGAATAACTAGAAAATTACCAAAATAATTAACATACCTCAGGTTTGTCTAAGAACAGATGATTCTACCTCATTCCTTGTTTTATTTCTATTGTGTTTCACCAGGGATTTAAAGGGATAATGTATGTGAAAAGAACTTTGAAAAAAGGTAAATTTCTTTGCAAGTGGATTCAGTGAGAAGAGTGATAGTTGTATATAAAATATCTGTTCCTGGCTGATAAATATTACTTATCATCTTATAATCACTTTATCACTCTAAAGAGTAAAGATGGAAACTCCTTCTACAGATCTTACTTCAGACAAGGATAATATTATAGCTGTATTGTCTGTGGCTAACAGGGCTTCTGAGAGTATAAAATAGTTGGGTAAGTGGTATTGTCATTATTAATTTACAGCTCAATTTTCTGTCTTTTCTTTTATGAATAGGTCTTGGCTGTTCAACCATACTTTCTCCAGAAGGATCAGCTCAGTTTGCTGCTCAGATATTTGGATTAAACAACCATTTGATTTGGGCCAAACTGCGAGCAAGTGTATTGAACACCTGGATTTCCTTGAAGCAGGCTGACAAGAAAATCAGAGAGGGCAATTTATAAGAAAGAACATCATTGCATTGTTTAGGAGAAAAACTATAAATTTCTAGTTTAGCTGCAGAAAAAAGAAATCAAGCAAGATGAAAAGATTTTAAATCAATCAGAGAAAACAAAATTTAAAAGTGAATGAATGCCTCTCTAGATTCATGAATTAGTAGAATAAATGTACATATTTATTAGTATTTCTTTATAAGTAGTGAAATTAGTATACATTTAAAATTAATCTCTTACCCACATATGGTCAGTTAGGTAGGCAGTATAATTAAATATATTTCTTAAATGATAATAATGTTCTATTATAGAGCTCTAAAGTTACTACTTCCTACATCTGAGTCCGTAAGTTTTAGAAACTTAAAATGGTTGTATCTTAGGGTGGTTAAGAGCAATATAGTCCTCTTTCACATTATGATCTTTACAAAACTCTAGGGCATGGTTTTTTACTTGCAGTCAGTATGTCAGAAAATGATGTTGTATTTATCTCTAGCTATAGCTAGAGATGATGTTTGGGTTTGATATTGCCTTTTTTAAGAAAAGCTGAGATTGACTCTGGGGGTAAGAAAGACATGAATTAAGATGAAGGGGCACTGTGGAAACCATGGAGAGACTTCTGAGAACTTCTCTGTTAAGTGTCAGGGCAATTTCCCATGGAAAAGAAATAGAGTCACCTTTGCCATTGCAAATGAGTTAGTAAATCTTACTTGGCTCTGTAGGTCATAAAATTCTTTTAATTCTGATAACACATATTTTAGCCAGACTAACAATCCCCAACCTACCATCATTTTCAAAAATTGGAATCTCCCAGTTAATACCCATAACTAGTTTCTTTCTTGTAATAGTATTAAGTCTAGTATACCCAGCAAAATGCACTTCTAAAGGAGCAGTTGTTACTGAGAGGTATGATAGTTCATCATGAGTCTATAAACCATATTTGGAAATATCAGTGTTACATTACGCAGCCTTGAGGATTTTATAGATCATGAAACTTTAATCCAGGTGTCTATGAACCCCTTAAGCTTACATGTAAAATTTTATGTATATGTTCACTTCTATGAGAAGGGGGCAATCAGTTTTTACCAAAAAGATGTGTGTCCCCCCCCAAAATGTTAAGAATCTCTGCTATGAAATCTTGACAAATCAAGATGAAATCTTGACACTGGCCTACCCAGTCTATGCTTTTTCACTTCCCTCTCAACTGTTAGCAAGCTGGCATCTCATCACTTCCTTCACCTGATCTCTGTGCGGTATGACTGACCTAACTTCCTTTCTTGGGCTATACACCAAGTTGTTCCAACCTCAATCTTAATCATTCCTCATATTTTACTCTTTCCCTTAAGTATTGATGTTTCCTACTATTGAGTTCATTGTTTACAAATAATGGTAGGATAACTTTAATTCTTTACAGTGAATGTCTGTAGACTTGTATTTTCAGCTGTCCATTTCTGTCTGAATGGTCTAAACTTAACTCATCTTCCACCAAGCCTATATCTGGCTGCACTCACTGTCCCAAATTAATTTTATCCTTGATGTTTTTCTCTGACCTTTCATTTCTAACTCATTACCAGGTCTTGAATTTACCCTGTTTACCCATCCACTGTACATAAACCTCAAGCAAGGGTCAAATTCTGTATTAGCCTGATCTAGGTCTTTTTTTTTTTTTTTTTTGGGGGGGGGGGGGTACGCGGACCTCTCACTGTTGTGGCCTCTCCTGTTGCGGAACACAGGCTCCGGACGCGGAGGCTCAGCGGCCATGGCTCGTGGGCCCAGCCACTCTGCAGCATGTGGGATCTTCCCGGACCAGGGCACGAACCCGTGTCCCCTGCATCGGCAGGCGGACTCTCAACCACTGCGCCACCAGGGAAGCCCTAGGTCTTCCTTCTTAACCCAACCTTTTTGAGGTTGATTGTCCAAGGACTTACAACAAAAACTCTTAAATAAATTTCTTTTGCAACATAGACTCCTTTGAAAATATGAATGCTGTTGACCCTCTCCCTAGAAAATTGCACAGTATGTTTACTAACAGGTTCCATTTGTTCCTGGGTTCCTTGAAGCCTATCCATAGTCTGTAGGTTAAGAATTGCTGTTGTAACCCATCAAGGGAACTTGCTTTCCTCTTTTTCAGACTGTTGCATATCTGTACGTTTAGTTCTTAGAATGTTCTCATTTGTCATTAAAATCTACTTGTTAAGTTACTAGAGCTTCATCTTCGCTTTCTCCATGAAACCTTCCCTGATAAACCTTCCAGCTACAGTGGCTACAAGTACTTTCTCTGTTGGATTGTAAGCTCCCAAAGAGGAGAAAACGTAATTCTACAGTTTATTTCCCTTACATTGTCTTATGCTCTGATGTGCTAATGCCTAGCTGTCTGTTAGAAATGGGGGAATTATAAAAATCATGTACTGCTTTATTTTCTAAAGTTAGATCACAAGAACAATTAAAAAGATTTGATTTTAACATCTTTGAACTTGGGCTTCATAGTCTCTGAATAGTCATTGGCTGCTATTTCAACTCTTCTGTCCCTACCTAGCAAAAGCTCCACCTGTTTCTGTGCAGTACATAAAAATTTCAAACACTGATTGAGACTCATAGATAGGACTGACCTTTATCAATGGTCATTATTAGTTTCTTAATAGAGTACATATAACCCTCAGTAGTATAGTTCATCAATGCTAGAGTAAATACTTGTTTGAAAGTATTTTAACTGTTATAAAAAGTAATTTACACAAACCTACCTGGTTTCCCATCTTTGGGTGTTTATACTTTCTGTGGGCTTATAGTTAAATAGAGGAAGAAAAATTGTGTCCGAATAACGCTGTACTTAAACTTTATATCTTAAAGCCACACTTAGAATTGCTTTAATGCCTCCTGAAATTTAAAACAAAGCAGCCAAATAAAAGGCAAGGATAAGCTCTTGTGTGAAGCTTTATTCATTCATCCATGTGTGAAATACATGTTTTGCCTTATTTTATTCTAGGCCCTAGGAAAGCAACACTGAACAGAGACAAGGCCCTCGCCCTCACAAAATTTACATTTTATTGGGGATAACAAACCATAAAAGATAAATCAGATAGATTCAGGGAAGTATAAGTGCACATGAAGAATAGCCAAGGTGAGAGGACAGTGATGGGGTAAGAGGAAGGTTTTTAAGGAGAGCAGGGCAATGATGTAAAAGAGGAAGCCATGCAAAGATATGGGGAAATAGTTTCCCAGACTAAAAGAACAGAAAGTAAAATAGCTTTGCCTTTTTGAGGACCTGCAAACATGCTAATATTGCTGGAGCTCTGTGAGCAAGGGTAAGAGTGGAAGGAGATATTGATGTAAGCAAAGGCTAGATAACTTAGGGCCTACAGACCACACTGAAGTGTGTCAGGAAAAACCATTGGTAAGTTTGAGCAGGGGCTGACGTGATGTATTCAACAGGTTTTAAAGTATTCTCTGGCTGTTGTGTGGATTAGAGGAGAAGCAAGGAGATTAGTTAAGAAGCTACTGTAGTCCAGTTGAAAGAAGATGTGACCTCCAACAAGTTACGTAAATTTTTTGTGCCTCAATTTCCTCGTGTGTAAAGTGGGACTAATACTACGCACCTCAAGGTGATTGAGAGTTAAATGAGTCAATATATGTAAAGTATATCCTAGCAGATGAATGCATTATGTAAAAATCTATTTGGCTGACTGTATAGAATGAGTAGAGTTTATTCCATGAAAATTACCTTGAATTTTATATTCCCTTCAGCTGATTTAATTTCTAAAAACAGGAAAAAAGGGCAGAGTCAGCATAATGTGACTTAAATAAAACATGACAGGCCATAGAACATCCACAATTTCTCCCTGCCATCTTCAGCCCAGCAGTCCTTGGAAAGCCAGTGGAAACGCTTACTTTTAATGGTGCCTTTTGCATTTAACTCCTCACAACCTCAAATACTTGGGGTGGGGTTGTTAACCCAGCACTGTGGTACAGTGAAAATAGCAGTAGAATGGGAATGAAAAGATTTCCTTGGGCACGTTTCTCTTTGAGCTTCAGTAACTCCTTGCACTCTGTCCTCAATCCCTCTTACCTTTCCTTACTTTTCTTCGTAGAATTTATTACCACCAAACATGGTATATATTTGTTTATTGCCTCTCTCTCCCAACTAGAAAATACATTCCATGAGTACACTAGGTTGTCTTTTTGTTGTTAATTGTATCCCAAGCGACTAGTACTGATATAATGCCTGACATTGGCATTTAGAAGGCACTCAATAAATATTTGTGGAATGAATATATGTACAAATTCCCACAGGTATGGCAACATGGAACCATACATAACTAAATATTAGAGGAGTATAACATGCAAGGGGAGTAGACAGTAACAAAAGATCATAAAGGACCTTACATGCTAGGCTTTGTAGTTTGGATTTCATCCTTAGGATAGAAGAGTGACATCAGGTATATGTCACTGTGATAAGCCCCATCACTCTGGGGCTTCCCTGGTGGAGCACTGGCTAAGAATCCACCTGCCAATGCAGGGGACACGGGTTCGATCTCTGGTCCGGGAAAATCCCACATGCTGCGGAGCAACTAAGCCCATGAGCCACAATTGCTGAGCCGGTGTGCCACAACTACTGAAGCCCATGCGCCTAGAGCCTGTGCTCCGCAACAAGAAAAGTCACTGCAATGAGAAGCCCATGCACCGCAACAAAGAGCAGCCCCCACTCACTGCAACTAGAGAAAGCCTGTGCACAGCAACAAAGACCCAATGCAGCCTAAAATAAATAAATTTATTTTTTAAAAAAATCACTCTGGTTTGGAAGACTCCTGTTTCAAAAGGGGCAAATTAAATCCATACATTTATATCTTGTTTGCCACAAAACCCCATTAAAAATGACAGAAGAAACAGAAACACAGGAATCACAACAGAGGAATTCTGAGGAAATTTCTACAAGCTACAAAGTATATGAGATCAGACTGATATAGAAACCAAAACTGTGACTCCTTACATAAAGTCAATATTCTGAAAAGAGAGAAATGCACTACTAAGGCAGTGGTTCTTAGCTTTTGGAGGGGGAGACGGGAGTTAGGATAAACACCTTTGGAGAATCCAATGGAAGTTACAAAATCTTTCCTCAGAAAAATTCTAATAAAATTTTGCGTATACCAAATGTCTTCCCGAACTCCTTTAAACCCTCTGAAATCCAGGCATAATTAGCTTGAAATACATGACAGTTCCACAGCTAGTAGAAGTCCACAGCCCTTCTCATGATTTTTACTAATTCAGAGATTATAACCTCCTGAGCTAGAGCTCACTGGATCATTACTGCTGTTTCTGCATTGTACATATTAACCAGACATGAAATGTGCCAGGCACCATAGGATATAGCCATGAGCTGGACATAGTTTCTGCTCACAAGGAACTCACAGATTAAGGGAGAAAGAAGCAAAAACTCACTCAGTTAAAAAGTTGAGTACCAACTATATGCCAGGGAGTGTGCTAGATCCTAGGGATGCTACAGTGAGCAAGGCAAATATAGTCCTTGGCCTCATGGAAATTACAGTACATCTGGAGAGAGACAGGCCTTAAACAATGAGCAGTGCTCAGAAGTAGAGAGCTCCATAAGACAGTGTAATGGGGAACCTTGCAGTGTCTGCAAAGTCAAAGAGGTAACTTTTAACCTGGAACCAGAAGGATACAGAAATATTGAAGGATGAAAAGGAATTAGCTAGTTTGCTGAGAAAGAGAGGAGGGGGGAAGAGGCAGGAACTGGTAGGATCGTGACCAGAAATGAGCCTGCAGTAGGCGTTCAATAAAATGTCCTGTCGTTCTCATCAAGAATACTCGGTAGGTACTCGGTTTGGACAAGCACATCTTGATATTTAAGGTCTTACAAAAACTCTAAATCCCCTATGTCTCTGTGTTACTTGAGTGCTTACTATGACAGGGTGCAGGAAGTATCGTTTATCCCTAGAACAATTATATATTATCCCTATTTTACAGCCGGGAAAACTGGGACTCTGATAACACGTTCACAAGTCAGACATCTAGAGCGTCTGAACCTGGGTATTCTCACACCAAAACACATCACCCTTCCAGCCTTATTGCCAACTGCTCCTGAAATGCAGCCCAAAGGGTAGCCAGGGGGTTTTCACCAAACGTGCTTTGCACTTGGAGATTCTTTTCTTCTTCTTTGCCTTTCCTCATATTCGCTTCTCTGAACTTTACCCAGAACCAACCCCAGGTTTTTCAAGATCCCATTCAAATACCAATTCCTCTATGAAGTATTCCCAGGCAGCAAGAAGCCGTCTCTCTCCCCCTCCCCTTCTCTCCCACTCCTTCAGATGACCCCCTACGGTTTCTAGTTGGTATTTTACCACGCCATAGACCTGTTATTTATTTTCCATAGACCTTCGCCCAGCTCCGCCTCTAGGGACCTGGACACTTCTCCGCCCCCAGCAGTCGCCCCGGAAACGCACGCTGTTTTTAGCCGAATCTGTTTGGTGAATCCTTTTCAACCCCTTCCCAGGATCCGACGCCTCGTTCCTCCAGACCCGCTTCTAGAAAGGAGTATCGACGCAATCTTCGCAAATTTCTAGGTACGAGAGTGAAGACTGCGGCCTTTGACGCCAACTCAGTATTAAAGAC